TGCTGAGAATTTGCTCTTTAGCCATCTTGAAAATAGCTCATTACTGTATGTCATGAAGATTATTTCATGTGCAGAGATGCACCACTGTTTTTCGACAAATCAAAGACAGCAATAATTTAAAGGTATTGGGACTGAAATAAGTTTGTATTCCTTTTTTTAATACATATTTATTCAACATCTTAGTACAAGGCATCATTTCTTCCAGACACATGAAAGACCTAGATCCTGTCTTTCTAAAGTGCCAAGGCACTGTTGTAAGTGTCTTGTGGATAGTAACTCATCTGACCTTTACAACAGCCCAGGGGTGTTATATTGTCCCTGCTGTACAAAGGAGGAAATGAAGTCCCAGAGAATCAAGCAACTCTGCTGAAGCCACACAGCCATTCAGTGAGTAGTAGGTCTGGAAGTCATTCCAGATGTCTTGGCTCTGAAGCCTTCTGTTTTAACCAACAGAGAAGACAAATATATTTTTAAAAATTCTAATGACATAGAAACTGCAAAGTTCCATTTAAAAAAAATAGGTGCAGGCTGAGAATCCCTTATCTGAAATGCTTGGTATCAAAAGTGTTTCAGATTTCAGATTTTTTTTTTTTTTTAATTTTGGAATATACAGAGGCATCACTACCTCTGCCACCCGTGTGGACAGTCTGTGGTTGTCTGGCACCACCATCATTCCTGACACTGAATTTATGTGCTACCCATAAGCAAGCATTTCTTATACTTACTCCCACATAAGCACTTAACAGTAAAAAATATGACATACCACTAATACAGTGAAAGAGTCATGTGTCCAGGGCAACAGAGTAGCATAATACATCACCAGATCACCCGTGAACGCCGAATAAACTGCACATCGTGTGCCTGTGTGTTTTGACTGCGACTTGTCCCATGAGGTCAGGTGTGGAATTTTTCACCTGAGGCCTTTTTGTGGGCACTCAAAAAGTTTCATATTTTAGGGCATTTTGGATTTTGGGTTTTCAGATTAGTGATGTTCAACCTGTATATATAAGGTAGTGTGGGACCAGAGGGAGAAAGGATTTCTTGTCACCAAGAGTGTCAGGAACTGCTTTGTGAAAAAGATAGGGTCTGAATAGAGCCTGACATTTGGGCCGAAGAGAGCAAGGCCATGTATTAAAAATAAAGAGCAGGTAAGCTTAGCTGATAAAGTCAAGATGTGAAGCAGCAGAAGATTAACTGGAGTCAGATCATGATGGTCTTAGATAGGGTTACCAGATAAAATCGAAGAAGCTCAGTTAAATTCGAACTTTTTAGATAAATAACAAATGTTTAGCTTAAGTGTAATTTGGACATATTTCACGGAGCATACTTATATTTAAAAAAATAGTCCTTGTTTATCTTAAATTTGTATTTAACTGAGTGTTTTGTATTTTTATTCATTAGATCTGAAAATCTTAGCCTTAACTGAGAAACATAATGATATCCTACGATGTCATTTTAAGATATGACAAACTAAAATTTGTAACATCATCCCAAAGTATTCAAAATTAAAATTTTATGGTATGTATCAGGAATCAGCAAACTTTTTCTGTAAAGAACCAGATAGAAAATATTTTAAGCTCTGCACTCCATGAAGTCTCTGTTGCCATTGTATTAATTTTGTCATTGTTGGGTGAAAGCAGCCGTAGACCACACACAGACAAGTGGACATGGCTCTGTTCCATTAAAATATAACCTTCATGTAATTTTCACATGCACAAAATATTATTACTCTTTATATTTTTTCAACTATTAAAATATCAAAACCATTCTGAATTCACAGGCTGTCTAACAACAGCCAGCCAGCCAGATTTGGCCAGTAAATAGTAGTGTATTCACCCTAAGTATTCTTCAGTGGACTAGAGAATCTAAAAGCTATGAATTCTTACTTTTCCCCAGGAACTCAAAATGGGAAGAATGTCCTAGATTTAATTATAAAGTCCCTTTTAATTAAGAAGATTAAGTATTGGCATTTAATTTACCCCAAAAGGAATTTAATGTGTCTTTATTGAACTTACTTGGCAGGTCCCGTGGAATGGGAAGACCGAGAGGATGAACCAATCAAAAAGAAATCTGATGGGCCAGGTAACAAAACAAAAACAAATACGAGCTGTGGGAAGTTTGAAAATGACTCTTTTCCAGATGGTATGTAATGGAAGGCTGCCTGAAAACAGTGAGTCAAACACCATTTCTGGACTATGACTAAACCATCAGTGTCCCTTGAAATTTTAGCTCTACTAAAATTGCAAAGTGACTCCTAAAAGCTGTTCTGGCTTTTACATTTTGGATAAAATGTTGGATTAGTGTTGGTTTGTAAATTCCTTTATGCAAGTACTATGAGGAAGGGTTTTAGAGAGCAAATTCCAAATGTTCCATGGAAGCCATCAGAATAGAGGCACAGAGGTAGGTGGAATTGGGGAAATGAGAGGTACACTGGGAGCTTGGGGCCAATTCCTCATTTGAGGAGGGGAAAACCAAGTCCGAGTGAGTTGTGATTCCACAGGTTTCCTGTGATTTCCAGGTACACTGGGAGCTTGGGGCCAATTCCTCATTTGAGGAGGGGAAAACCAAGTCCGAGTGAGTTGTGATTCCACAGGTTTCCTGTGATTTCCACTCAGGATTCCACAGCTACTGAGTGACAGAGCCAGGGATAGATCCCTTGTCTTCTAACTGGCCCAATCATGGTGACATTTGGGCTTTCATAGCATGTGATTTGGAGGAAGGTTTTTCTATGCAGGAAGAAAAAAAAAAAAA